CATAGTCACGCTATAAATTAAACAAACGCTATAATTCACAACGAACGAACGATTCACGCGCTTGACTCAATTGTCGTCTCTATCACTGTCTGCAATTCAATTACATTGTTGCCGTCAGTTCTTGGCGGTCTTATATACATGAATACTGCATATCTAGTAAACACTCGAGCATTCACGAACCTTCGAGAATATGACGTGTTACTAGCGTCACGTGACCCCCGCTGTCGTAACAATATGTATATGTATATATATTTCGAAGGTAGGAGCATGAATGGATAAAACTTATAAAGAGAGGAACATGTTTAGGTATATATTTTTTGTTGTTCGATATATATATATATTTACATATATACTTTTTGTATCGGTATTGTATACATGCATGATTTATTGTACCATGTCGAATGAATTGCATTTAATTGAAATGTATATCTCCCCTTTGATACTTCTCATAGAGATGACAATTGTCAAAAAGTGCTCACTTCAGTAGAGGTTTTTTCTTGCGCTGATGAAAATGTCTAGTAACAGTGTCATCCAACGGAAAAAATCACCACTGCTACTTAGCGAACCTGAGCGCTCTGTTGTGATGGATGCACCCATTTTGCAAACAATGAATTGTAGTCAGTCTCCTTCGCTTACAAACAAAAGCAATGCAATTTTCTTCATTGAAATAACAAATGTAATGACAAAATATATTCATATTACAAGCAAACTATGATCCAAAGGATTGGGTTGACTGCACACTTCATATTTATAACCCTTGTACAGCTTTACGAGAATATTCAATAGGAACAATCAAACAAATACTGCTTTGCAGGAACTAAGGGAGCATTAGCCCATGTCACAAAGAAACAGGAAAAGAGACCTTATTTATACCTAAAAAGTTTAAGTGAAGTGGAAACATAACTACAATAATAAGTATTAAATAAATATATGATATATCGCCAAATAAGGGGAAAGAACAAAAAAAGAAAGCTAAACAGAAAAAGAACAATTGAATTGTGTGTGTATGTAAATTCTTGTTTGTCTATTTGTTATTAAGTACAAAATTGCAAAATGGGCTATCTGTGCTCTGCCCACTGCAGGTATCGAAGCCTTATTTTTGGCGTTATAAGTTCTAAACTTACCGCTGAGCCCCCAAGGCAACTCTAATGGCATAATTGGATTTTATTGTAAGTCTTATAACGAAACTACGGAACCAAAGTAGGGAGTGCGATTTCGGGAGGGGGGGGGGGGTTGAGAATCAATAATGAAATGTAAATCACAAAGTCAGGCACACTAATCATTAGGCTACATTTGATCTGAAAGAAAAGCAATTGAAATTTTAAGCATGTACGGTATTTTATGCACACGCGAGCTAAACAATTTGATCAGAGACTTTGTAGGTTTTAGTCAGAGCCGTCACTAATTTTGAAATACTGACCAGAAGGAAGAAAACCAGCCAGAAGCAATCGTCGTCACATAGGATTTCTTATAATGTATATTTTTTTCAACTATATAAATATTGTGACAACTAGAAATGTAGAGCTTGTTCATGAACATCACTACCCGAATACCAGACCTTATGCTGTGCAGCCCAACACGCTAATCATTAGAGCGTAGGCCATACTCGGCCCATTAACAAAAATAGCACCTAAAAGTAGAATAAGTACAGCTTCTTGTGAACTACAGCTTGAATAGCGAAGAAAATGTTTTGTTGATTCTAACTTGAGCAGAACAATCACATGAAAAAAAAAATGCAGTCCTAGATACTATAGTGTATTGTGTAGTTTATTTTTAAATGAAATAATTTATATCGTAAAATGTTATGTCAGACGAATATGAAGTGCTTTTTAACCTCTCACCAAATGGTAATAGTGAAATGCTTATATAAGGTTAAAATTGCTGGTAAAACTACTTCAATTAAACAGATGGAATAATTTGCAGATATTTTCTAGAGAACATTTAATACAAGAAATTACAACGTTTTGAATTTTTGAAAATTTCCCCAACGTGGTTTTCCAAATTTTCTTCAGAGAGCTTTTTATATATATACAGGCTAATAAGTCTATAATTATCTACATTATTAACTTGCATACTGTTTTCGTAAACACTCGCAATCAGAACCCTATATAGGGCTCTGCTCGCAATAAGTGATACTTTAACGTACGAGACATGTAGCATGTGATACAAACACATAACATCTTTTATTAATATTATTTTAATTTTTCTATATCGTTTAATATTTCCCTATCCATTTAATTAATATTCTGTTAATTTATACTAATTATAAATTATAATTAGTAGTATAATTACTAGTATAATTAGTATATAATTTATACTAATTTGTTTAGTTTTGACTTGTATCTAACTTATAACACTTTATGCCAAGACAAACACATAGGTTTATGTGAAACATGAATTTATTAGAGGAGATATCTTTTATTTTTTAAACTGAAAATTTCAGGCGAACACCTTTCTTCAGGTATATCTGACTAACCTAAATAAGTCTTTTCTTTTGGGTTTTATACACCTCTTCCTTCCTGAAACGTCGTGTCAAAGAAATGTGTGTTTGAATGTGACTCAGTATATATTGAGCTGTGTCATTTAGGTTATTCGTATAAACCTGAAAAAGGGTAGTCGCTGTAAACGTTGTACATATATATATATATATAGTTTGGGGGGGGGGGACTGTTTGTTTGTAATTATGCACAAAGCTACAC